ATATAATTTTATTTTTATTTCATTACAAAAGTATCATTGCAGATGGTAATCTACTAACTAATTACTAATCAGTTGACAATACCATGATTAATTGTGTTATATAATTGTTATACTGTTTTATTATATTATATATGACTCTTTGATGATTGTGCACTTAAAATTTTATAATATTGGACTAGTAACATACCAACATCAATAATAATAAAATAGAAAAGCATATAAGGTATTTTGTAAATTACCTAGTATAACACACTTATATCTAATTTACATTAACTTCCCACTTAGAGCTTTATGATCAATATCCTATAGATATTTGAATTTCATAATATAAGTATTTAAAATGGAAGATGTTAGAGGTAATATCAGCCGATGAGTGTTTCTCGAGGCATACAAAGAAAATGTATGAATTATAGTGACTCTAGCACTTGAATCAATAATTAAAAAAAAATAGTACATAATAAGTAAAAAGTGTAAGAATTAGTAAAATTATATAATTTGTATTTACCGTAAACTTCTTTCTATAGAATAAAATTCTTAGTGGGAGGTTGAAATGACAACATTTGAGTGGATATCCTCTAATGGGATTACTTGTTTTTGATACAAAATTTATTATAAGATCACATTAAAATCAATATTTTTACACATTTAGTACAGTAAAAAATCTCTTTATCCAAAAAAGGCAACACCAATATGCCTTTACCTACACGTAGATGTAGTATTTGCATATGAATTTTGGAATTAATTAAGATGATTTTTTAATAATGTAACGTTAAAAAATCTCTTCATTCAAAGAAGGCAACACCAATATGTCTTTACCTATATGTAGATGTACTATTTGCATATGATTTTTAGAATTAATTAAGATGATTGTAATGTTATTTGTGATGATTATGTAAGTATTATTTAACACGGTATAATAATAATAAAAAATAATACAATAACTTGTTAACATATAGGATAGTATAATATATCACGATAATTTACAGTTCATATTTAAATATACACTTAAAATTGTATGGTGTAATTTTTTTTTCTTTGAAAAAAAGGACATTCATTCGAAACCTGATGAACGCAAACTAGACAAATAAGAACAATATCCAAGCTTATATTACTAGAAATATAAAGATAGATTCATGTAACTTAAAAGCTAGCCTAAATAATGTATGGACTACTTGCTTATGCAATCTATAATTTTTTTTTTAAAAAAAATTATAAACATCTTTCATTAACATAATAAACTTTGAATTAGATAAAAATAAAATATGAAATTATGAAAAAAAAATTATCATCGTATCATCTTCCATAATGATATGCATGTATCATTTATGGTAAACTAGCAGTAATTCATACAAAAGTACTTGAAATTTAATTATCTCAATTAATAATACCATCGATATTTTCCTCACTTTATTACACGATCATACCTGAATAATCTTTACAAATTAAACCTATACTC